TGGAACCAGCTTTTTCTTGTACTCTTTTCTTTTATACTTTGCTCTCATGAGCCACGATTACAAGAGCTTGTCTCCTTATGCGCGATGCAACGTTACGTCGCCTCATGCATAAGGATACATAGGCTTAAAGTGCATACATTTACTTTTACACTGTCGTCCGTAGTGATAGTAACATACCTCACTCTTCAGTGACTTCTCTGGTTGTTCGATGGTATATATAGAGAGACTTTAAATGAACAGGTTTTGTTGGTATAGCATAGTAATATTGTCGCATCTTTATTATCGAATTATGAGGTTTTAAATAAACCTCGTTCTGAAATGAAAGCTGTTACACCCTGTTTTGGAATGTCTCCCCCTCCCCCCGCCCTTTTCCATCTTTTCCCTCCAACAGGGCCGTGGCAGAGCCAGGCATTCAGCTGAAACTGGTCAACTCCAATACTGGACCTGGACAGATTTTGCGTAATTCTCTCTGGCACACTGGAGACACTGACAATCAGGTGGGTACCTGCACCGAGCGTGTGTAAGGCTGTTGTAGTTGTTATTGTGGTTCTTGTTTTGTAGCTGTAACTGCAACTGCTTCTGTTATTTATGTTCATCTTTGTCTTTTTCCTGTATTTTTAGAAATACTTGCAGTTTGTGGTGCTCTATGGTAGACTTTATTGATAGAAGCATGAAACAGGCACCATTTTAAAGTAGGCGGTATATTTCACATATTTTATCAATGGCGGAAAACGTCCATTTTGTTGTGATTTGTGTTTTCCATATTTTTCGTAGGCCCTAAGCTTTATTGATATCTTAATTGGAATTTAACAAGAGTTATATATTTATGATATTCGTTATTCCTTGTTGGGTCTGAAAATATAATCTTTTATAGTAATCTTCCTTTTAAACTTCTTTACGTCGGATTTCATTCCTAAAAATAGCTAAATGTAATTTGTCCTATTAGGATTGTAGAACAAAAGCATGGATATGCGCTATATCAATGCAATTATTATCATTATTATATTTGTTTAAGCATAATTGCCGCATTTCAGAAACCCACAGTTTCAGTCTGTGCACTTTTTCGATTTTTTTTCGGTTGCAAAGCACTTAATTCCAAACCTCTGGTTCAGGTAAAACTTCTATGGAAGGATCCTAGGAATGTAGGCTGGAAGGAAAAGACAGCCTATCGTTGGGAGCTCATTCACAGACCTGCTAGAGGCCTCATCAGGTAAATCTGATCTGATAGTCATAACAAAATATGGGGAGGAAAAGTAAAAGGAAGACAATCACCCTAGCGATATCTTAGTTTTAGTTTAGGAGTAAGAGTTTTACGGTGCTCACAACTACACAAGGCCATATGCGTGCACCAAGCGATATCAGATATCGTGGAAATGAGTTGGAGGAAGGAAGAAAGGAAAAAAGATGGCGATGTAGGAGGGGTAGTAAGAGGGGGAGGAGAGGAGGAGGAGGAATTGGAGGAGTTGGAGGGGGAGGAGGAGAAAAAGAAGGAAAAGATCATTCAGTCACTCAATTGATCGATTAATCAGTGGAATGACAGACCAAAACAAAAACAATCAACTGCTATACCATTGATTATTTAGTCACTCATGTTCCCTGTCGACAAATGACACTATATTTTTCTATAATAGCTTTATATAGATGTATGAATGACTTCTATCTGCCACGGAAGATAAAAGAAAAATACATTAAACCGCCTTCAAACTAGAACCTCTAACTTACATACCAAAGACTATGTTCTATAGCCTATTGTGCTAATATGTCATGTTTTTCAGTCTGGTCTGACTTTTTAACCTTAGTTCAATAGAACTTATCTATTTGTAATAAACGCAGTTCGCTCTATATTGTGTTATCATTGATTCCAAAGAATATTATGATATACGTTGTTTACAGTAAACATAATTTCTTCAAAGATAGCTAACAATTAACTTGATAGCTTCAAGGGTAGCTTAAATTAACTTCATATCTTCAATTTCAAAGACAGCTTGCAGTATACTCCTCAATGTCTTGAAATATAGCTTAATTACAGTGAACTTAATGTCTTTAAATTTACCTTACAGTAAGCTTAATGTATTCTCGCTGTTAACGCAATGTCTTCAACGATAACTTGCTGTTAGCTGAATTTATTCAAAGACAGATATCCTTACGGTAAACTAAATTTCTTCCAAAAGAAAACAAAAAACACAAGTGGTTCTTTTTTTTTCTTTTTTTTTTGTTCTAGAGTTCTTCTGTTTGAAGAGACAGAGCTTGTGGCTGACACTGGAAACATCTACGATAACACCCTAAAGGGGGGCCGTCTCGGAGTCTTTTGCTTCTCGCAAGAGATGATTATTTGGTCCGACCTGGTTTATCGATGTAACGGTAGGAATTGTTGTACTTCGTTATTTATACTAATGTACGCACCTTTCATTTTGATAATATACCATGCTGTTCGGTAGGTGCCCTTGTTTCAGTTTCTAATGGTTTTTTGTTTGTTTGGCGGTGTTTTTTTTTAGGGGGGGTATTTAAAACCTGGTTGGCTCAAGGCTCTCTAACCATAAAGCAAGAGCTGATCAGATTGGTGTTCCGGTTCATATTCAGTGTGTCCCCAGTGGGCTACAAGCAATCTTAAATTCATTTCAGTACTGCATGAAAGTCTCCTTGCGACTCTAATATCAGTACATTGGAATTCTCGTCTGTAGCACGATCATACTGATCTTAACGCTCCAAACTTAAAAGAGAAGGAGAAGCAGAAGAACGAAGAAGTAGATAGATAGATAGATAGATAGATAGATAGATAGATAGATAGATAGATAGATAGATAGATAGATAGATAGATAGATAGATAGATAGAGCAAGAGAG